TAATCCACAAGCCTGGCAAAGTCAGTTAAGTTGTTTTCCAGTTAAAAATATCACAGGGATCAAGTGTCTGGGATTCCCACAGCCTCCCATCTTAAAGAGTTCACAGAACTAATTCCTGCTGTTCTTCTCCATGATGCAGCTCCTTTAATTCTTAGAACTTTTGGAAAAAGAGCTGAAATTCAGGATTGCTGCTGCTGCTGGTGTGAAATTTTGAGTAGACACTGCAGTGGAAGGGAGAGCCCAGCAGATTTTATTTGGTGAGATTGCTGTTAGAGTTTGACATCAGGAGTGATGGTGCAGGAGCTGTCACACATGTCAGGATGCTCTGTGCTGTTTCCAACATCAGGGATTTCTCAAGGAGGTTTCAGAAATGCAGCAGCTTCATGCAACTCACTGGGACACGAGACAAAGTGGATGGATGTTGGTATAAGCTGGTTTATAAAGTGTCTATTGAATCAAACACAGGGTGATGCCGTTTTTATTAAAAGCCACAAAATGCTTGAAGCCAATTAATACTCCCCTGCTTCACTAATGCCTCTGCTCATAAAATTAAATGGTTTCATTTAGCAAAACCAATTTTGAAGCCTTTTTGTCAAATTTATAATGACTTTAGCATGAGGAGACTCATGTCTTGCACACATAATACAGGTTTTTTTTGAAGAGAAAGGATGCACAATGAGGTGCCACATGTGGAATAAGAGGAAAGTTGCTCTTCTGAGTGAAGAACTGGTTCCAAATAGGAAATAAAAGGTACAAATGACTGTGCAGTTGCTGCAGTGAAGAGAGATTAACCTGTCTTGGGAAGCTGTGCAGTTCAATAGCCTCACAAAAGGGCTGGAAAAAAGAGGATGGTGACGCACCAAAACCCGCTGAGGGTTTGGAGTTATTCCAGGTGAGCCAAAGCAGGCACAGCTACAAAAAAGTTGTAGAAGAATCCGACAATAATACAGAAAATAGCTGCTGAAATTCCATGTCAATAAAAGTCAAGTGCAGGCACAATGAGAGGATTTAAATTAGCCCGGGAAAGAGGTTCTGGCGTCATTGCAGATGGTGCTTTGGAAACATCTGCTCCGTGCTCAGCAGAGGTCAGGAAGGCAAGTGGAATGCAAAGAATTGCTGGGAGAGGGATGGGGAATGAAAGAGGAAATGTAAGTGCAGGGCTGAATAAATCCCTGGGGCTCTTGAGCACAGTGGAATTCCAGTCACCCCGGTGACTGCAGTGGGGAAGGAGAGCTGGAGAGATGCAGGAAAAGGGTGAGAATCCACAACACATAATCCTGGGTTATGGATTGGGAGTGAAAGGCTGTGGGTCTGGCTGAAGACATGAATCGGCAAGATTAAGGGGTAAAATCCGGATTTCTGTGGAGAGAGGGGAGAAGGAATTGTATTAGGAGGCACCAGGATGATCAGAGGGGTGGAGAACCTCTGCTGTGAGGAAAGGCTGAGAGAATTAGGGTTGTTCACTCTGGGGAAGAGAAGGATTTGAGTTTTGGACCTTCCAGTGCCTGAAGAAAATGTAGAGAGGGGCTATTTACAACAGCCTGCAGTGGCAGGACAAGGGGGAATTGCTTCAAAATGAAAGAAAGTAGGTTTGGATTGGATGTTAGGAAGAAATTCTTCCCTATGAGAGTGGGGAAGCCCTGGCACAGGTTGGCCAGAGAAGCTGTGGCTGCCCCTGGATCCCTGGAAGTATCCAAAGTTAGCTTGGACAGGGCTTGGATCAACCTGGGATAGTGAAAGGTGTCCCTGCAAATGGCAGGGGGTGGCAGTGGATGAGCTTTAATGTCCTTTCCAACCCCAAACTGTTTGAGATTCTGAGATCCAGCTTGGGATTCTGGGATCCAGTGTTTTGTGACAGAGGATCTGATGACAACTCTGGTCATCAATGGCCAGGCAGAGGTTTAAAGCAAACAACAGGAAATAAACTTTCACAGTCTGTAAAGAATTAGGAAAATCATCAAAAACATCTTTTACAACCTGAAAATACAGGTTGGCTGACAAACTTGTAGTGCTGAGATTCCCAGTGCTGACTTTGACACCTCCATCATCCTGGAGGTCTTTTCCAACCTTAATGATTCTGTGATTCCTTGCTCCTGTTCCAGTGTCCCCTCTGCAGCTGGGTGAGATTTGAGATCTGGTTTGGTTTGGCCCCTCCCTGGTGGAATCTTACAGGATTTTTGGGCTGGATTATAAGCAGTTAAAGGGTCTCTTGTGATGTTGCAGTGACTTGGCAGTGCTGGGTTAACAATTGGAGTCGATGATCTTTCAGGGCTTTGATCTCTCCTATGACAAAAGCCACAGAAATCCTCTGAAGGAATAAATTCTGTTTGAATTGCAGTGGAATATTGGTGGGGAAAATGATCCAATGGTTCCTTAAAAATTTCCTGTGCTGAGTTAAAAATCCCAAGGTTTAATTGCAGCATGAGTAATGAGAGGTCTCATTGGATGGCTCAGGAATTTTGAGACAGAGAGGACTAAAAATTCTTCTAGAACAGGATTACCATCAAATTATATCAGCCTCAGTGGCAGGAAATCAATCCAGAGTGGGCTGATTTACACTTGCCAGAGCCAGCACATCCTGAACTTCCCCATGTCTCCCAGTGATGTTTTTATCTCCACATCAACATCGCCAGTGTGAGAAAAATAATTTTCCCTTTAAAATCCAAACATCCAAGGTGGGACTTGGCAGAGCATAAGGGCCAGGGGATCCCACTGATTACAGCACCAAAGTGCAATATAAGGACTCATCTTGGGTTCTGCTTTTTCAGGTTTTTATGGGCTGGGAAGGGATAAATGATGTTTATGCCCTCTTGTGGTGCCACATCGAACGGAATGGATTCCCTAACTGACAAAATGAAGCCAATAATGGAAAAGTCCCAGGTTAAAAATCTGTAACAAACACTGTGGAAAACACAGTGGAAAAATCTCTCCTGCTCCAGCAGCATCCTCATGACTCAGGGAAGGGGGAGAGGCCAATTTTGGCTGCATTTGCAGCAGCAGGTAAATGAGTAATGCCCAGGATGGCAGAGTTTGTGCCATCTTTCAGCAGTGAAGATCACTCCAAAGTGTTTTTTTCTCTGTGCTGGGAAGGTTAGAAAGTGAAACAGTGCTTTGTGAAAGGAGCTGTATTGACACCTCTTTGTGTTTGGTGCTGTTGACATGTTGTAGTGCAAACCTTCACATGTTTTATCTTCCTTACTCACATGTCTGACAGGTGAATAACCTGATTCCCCTCGGATAAATCCAGTCCAAAAGGTGGACAAAAGCTAGTTGGTGGTTTTACATGGGGAAATAAGGCCAGGTTCCTGTGAAATGGAGCTTCTGATCCCAATTCCTTGTGTGGGAACACAAGGAATTAATGAGTCAACACCTTCCTAAGCTGTGCTGAGAAATCTGGTCCAGGTTTGGGAACTCGGGGCTCTCCAGACTGGTCCATCATGGATTTTGTATCCATCTTACCACTTCATTCCTGACTGAAGGCTGAACACAGCAGAGTGTGTCCTTTAGACAGTGAAAGTGTGGGAATAAATCAGAGCAGTGCTCTCCAAAGCCCAGCAGCTGCTGTCAGGCTGTGGGCAGGGCTTGGCTGTGCTGGGGCAGGATCTGGAAACTCCAGTGGGGGAAATTTGGGAACTTTTTATCCCAAATAATCACCTGTTGTTTAAGTGAAGTATTTCCATTGCATGTCCTCCTTGCCTCTCCCCAGCCATGTAGCAGATGAAAGAGGAAGGGAGTAATTTCCTCTCCAGTTCCAGGATGAGCAAACCCACAATACTGGGTTTAAATGAAAGAACTGGGTTTAACTGGGATAGGCTTAGAAGGGACTCTCTAAAAGGATGGAAAATATTGGAATGAAGATCTCCATCTCCAAAGATCTTCCATAACCAATGTTTTTTGGGATCAAGGCTGCTACCATTCAGTCTGCCATGATGAAAGAGGATGGACTTGATGACTGATGGCAGATTCACAATTTTGTGATTCCATGTGATGATTTCCCTTTATTTATATTTTATATATTTAATAGGATGATGAGATAACAAATATTTTTCTGGGAATCCTAAATGCTGAACCCTTCAATCAATTCTATCTATGTCCAGTATTTATAACTACAATTTGCAACAGGATTCTGACATTAATTAAAAGTGCTTACTAGGTTTTAGCGCAGACTTCAGAGCACAAGTTATGTCCACACTGAGAAGAGAATTGGGTCCAAAATGTTGGTGTTTACCAGTTTCTTTAGGAAAGGACAATGTAATGGGGAAAATGTCACAGCAATTCATCTTAAAAAGAAATTCCCTCTGTCAGAAACCTCTCAGGAGTTTCAAATTCAGCTAGGGGATATCAGAAAGCAATTAAAGTCTAATTTAAAATCCCCACCCACATTCTGTCTTTTCCTGCCAAGTGGTTATTGCTCCTGGTCCACGGTACTGGCAAATTTTTCCAAAACGAGCCATAATTTGCCTTAAAACTTAAAACTTTCTGGTCAATGTGGAACTTTTCTCTTTGAAGAATGAGTTTGCAGTGACTCTGCACGAAAAAAATAAAAAAGCCCAAATGCTCTGATTTCCCAAGGACATCCTTGGGGATGAAATTTCACCCAGAAATTCTTCTTGGACAAGGACATTGGGGGTGGATTTTGAAGCCGAGGCACTTTCCAGGGAAGGTTCCTGGACACTGCAGCTTCCCAGGGTGGATCCCAGTGTGTTCTCCCTTTGTTTTCCACTTTCATTGATGGCTCCACATCACTGCCTGGGTTAATAAAGAGAATAAAAGCGTGGCCGTGGCAGATTAAACAAATGAGCCATTAAAAGGGGGCGATGGCTCCCTCCCTCTCTGTGCCCACAGCAAAGCAGAGCACCACGAGAGCAGGGAGGGATGAAAAGCTTTCAGGGATGAGCTGGGAATGTGAGCACTGAGAGACGCCTGTGGCTCCTTCAGGGAGGAATCCCAAGGTCGTTCACAGCAAACCACTAATGGCTTTCCGTGGTCTTTCCTGACAGGTGCTGAAGGAGGAAGGCTTTGGCCCCATCACCACGGAGATCCGGGAGGCTCCTGAGTTTTATTATGCCGAGGAATATCACCAGCAGTACCTCAGCAAGAACCCTGGAGGGTACTGTGGCCTGGGAGGGACGGGGGTTTCCTGCCCCATGGGCACCAGGAAATAGCCTGTGCTTGCTCCACCACCTCCTCTTCATTGTAGGGAGCTTGGGAAAAAAAAAAAAGACCAGGAACCCTGGTGGATGTTCCTGCAGCATCTGTGGATAAAGATTTGGGAATCTGCTGGGGAGGCTTTCCATAATTATAAGTTTTCAAAAGCCAAAGTAGAGGCAGGAATTGCTTCCATTCTTGCTCTGTGCATCTCCCAGGGTTTCCTTGTCATCTGGAGAGGTGGAAAGAGCTCCAAACTTCTGAAGTTTGGCTTGAAATGCTGTTAAAAGGGTGAATTAGGAGGTGGTTGCATCCGTAGCTGCTTTGTATTTCCAATGCCTTTGGACTTTTTGATTTTCTTGGGTTAATTAATTTCCTGGTGTTCCCAGAGCTTTGACTTCTGGATATGTGGTTGGGTTCCTTACCGTCACAGCCCTGGAATTTGATGTCTTTGGGAATGATGAATTGATCAGATCAGTGATTCTCCCACCACAACTCCACTTTCACAGCATTTAGTACCACCTGTAGTGCCTATTTTATGAAATTATTTTAGCCATAAAAAATAAAATTGTCAAGTGATGCTTCTTTTTGACAGTTCCAATAAGTGAATAAACACAAAAAGAAATCAGTTTTGTGTCCTGCTCTGCAATAAATGGCAGAATAAGAAAAGAACAATGTTCTCTGTGATGTGTTCCAAGTGGATATCTGGGTAGATCTAAAACAAAATTATAAAATATTTTAAAATGCTGCAGCTCTCTAATTAAACACCAGGGTGTTTAAATCTGTATCATCAGTCATGACAGTACAGAGGAGTGGAATTATCCCTACGATTAATTATTTATTCTTTAATAACTTGGGGAGCCCCCACCAAGAGCAGACTCATGGGAAAGGTAACTTGGGGCAGCCTCCAGTGAATGTGCAGTCAAAATAGCAGGCCAGCCAAAAAGGGGAAAAAAATCAATTTTTGGGTTTATTCATGGGGATCTCAGAGTGCAGACTCAGAGCTGCAGACAAAGGATGCAGGGATGCACAGTTTATCCCATATGGGAATGGGATCCTGTGGGTCCAGAGCTCAAGGAGTGAGCCAGTTTTGGGGGACATAGGGTGGCACTCAGAGACACAAATCCACAGCACCTCCTTCTCCATGGCACTGCTCTCCACAGCTTGGTTTCCTGCTCACCAGCTCAGCTTTGAAGCTCAAAAAGGCCCAAAACAGCTCCCTGAACATCTTCTGTACCCACACAGCAGAGCAGATCGTGCTCCAAGCTTGGAGACAACTGACAATGCTCCCCACAAAGTCAGTGCTTGGGGTTGTAAATCCAGTGCTGCAGCCCTGCCCACTGTTTCCAAAGATGGGGAGTAAATCTGTGCCAGAAAAATCAGCTCCCCATCTTCCCTCGTGCTCCTCAGCTGATGCTGAGCTCATCCCAGTCTCAAAACCCAGAGGAAATGTGTCCTCTTGGCAGATTGCACCTGGGCCAGGCTTACAGGAGCTGCCTCAGGCAGGACTGCCCCATTAGGCTCTTCCTGGAGATGCCCCAAAATGTGTCCACAGCACACTCAGAATTTTGGTTTCTGTGGTAACTGATCCTGTCCCTAACCTGCCCTGCCATGGAGTTTTTTCAGTGCTCACAGCCAAGTAAACCAGCACTTGTGTCTCGTTTCCTTGGCATGAAGTGACAGAGCAGCAAAAAAGAGAGGGAAATAAAGTCTTACCCTCATCCTATGCATTGTCAGCCTCTGTGAAATCCACACTCCAGTGGGATAATTCCTGATGTGCTCCAAGGCAAAGCATTTCAGGTGCTGAATCATCTGGGGGCTCATGAAATGTCTCCCGGTTCCCTTCCCTTCTCCTCCCTCTCCTCCCACTCTGTGCTGTAGTTATTATTTTGGAACAAGCTGGTAAGTCTTTGGGAAAAACTTTTATTATAGATATCCTCAAGTCTGAGCCTGGCTGAGGTTTTTTTTTTTTTGAGTCCTGTCCTGATAGAAATGATGTCTTGGTCTAAAAATCAGCATAATGGCTCCATTGGTACTACAACTGGCCCACACCAAAATATTTTGGTACCACAGAATTATTTACTGGCATCCTTGATTTGATTTTGATTTGAGGGTTTTGATGGGGCACTCTGAAAATTGTCCTTTGACAGAGCTGCTTTTTCCTACAAACACAGAATCCCATGATGGTTTGGGTGGGAAGGGACCTTAAAGATCATCCAGTCCCACCTCCTGCCACGGGCAGGGACACTTTCCACTATCCCAATTTGCTCCAAGCCCTGTCCAACCTGGCCTGGAACATTTCCAGGGATGGAGCAACTCTCCTGTTTAAGTACATTTAAGTCAACACCCCAGGCATGGTCTAACTGAGAAAATTACCAGGAAATGAGAAAATTAAAGTGATGATAGGCTTTGGAGATGAAGCTGAAAGCTGATAGAGCTCCTGAGGTCTTCAAAGACGGTTCAAGATCCAGCAAAGGCTACAGCACCCAGCTCATGAAATCCTCCATTGCCACATCCTGTGAGGTTAGCCCAGGATACAGACAGGAATTCCACTTTGCCCTGTCCCTGTGAGAGCCAGAGGAAACCACAAACCTTTTGGAAATCCCTGAGCTTGCCCTCAGTGACCCTTTTGCCTTGGGAAGGAGCATCCAAGCGCTGCACCCCCAGGAAGGAGCGGGTGCTGTGATGTCACCTGGGTTGTGTTGACATGGAATGCAGACCGTGTCCTGAGGCATCTGCAGAGGCATCACTGCTCTGAGAGCTCTGGGAGAGTGTTGGACCAGGCTGGATTGAGATGCTGCTCCTCACCCTCTCCTGTTTGGCTTCCCTGACCAGCAGTGTCCAGGCAGGTTTTGTTTCTCAGCATTCTCAGCACAGAAGAGCTGCAGAATATTTAAATGTGGGTAAGTGAAATGGGTCAGGGCTCATTCCTTCTGCTGAGGGAATAAAGGTGTGGCCTGTGCTGCAGCCTGATGCACCTTCCACCCCCTAAACGAGGATTTTATCCCACCTGCCTATGGGACATGGTCAATGGTCCCTCCCACCCCAAATTCCTGGGCAGGGCTTGGCAGAGTTTAGGTTTGGGGAGGTGACAGGGATGTCACTTTGGGAGGGATCAAATAACAGATCCAGGGAGGGCATTCTCACCCTTTACTCTGCTGAGACCCCACCTGCAGAGCTGCCCCAGCCCTGGGCTCCAACAGCAGAAGGATGTGGAGCTGCTGGAGAGAGACCAGAGGAACCCACAGAGATGCTCCAAGGGCTGGAGCCCCTCTGCTCTGGAGCCAGGCTGGGGGTGTTCACCTGGAGGAGGCTCCAGGGAGAGCTCAGAGCCCCTTCCAGTGCCAAAAGGGGCTCCAGGAGAGCTGGAAAGGGTTTTGGGACATGGGATGGAGGGACAGGACACAGGGAATGGATTCCCACTGCCAGAGGGCAGGGATAGATGGGATATTGGGAAGGAATTTTTGGCTGTAAGGGTGGGGAGGACCTGGCTGTGGTTGCCCAGAGAAGCTGTGGCTGCCCCTGGATCCCTGGAATTGTCCAAGGCCAGGTTGGATAAGGCTTGGATCAACTTGGTCTGGTGTAAATTGGAGCTGGAATGGAATTGGAAAAATTATTTTTCCAACCCCAACCTCTCTGTTCCTCTGATTCCATGGATATTTTTATTTCAGTGCTCAGGGGTGTCCTGCCCCTGTCCAGCACAGGCTGTGACATTGCTGAATGTGTCCAAAATGTCCCTTTTTGTACCCAGGCTGTGGCCTCCGACCATCCTACGAGTCCTTCCAGGGCACTGGCAAGAGGATTGGGACAGGGACAGACGTCACCCCCGGGGAATTCCCGTGGCACGTGAGCATCCAGAGCCGTGGGAAGCACATCTGTGGAGGCACCATCATCAGTGCCCTGTGGATTTTGACTGCAGCCCACTGCTTTGCAGATGAGCTGTGAGTGCTCCAGGGGTGGGAGGGCAGCCCAGGCATGGGGAGGGGAAATTCCTCCTGATGGGTGCAGGATGAGCATCTCCTCCTGTGCCACCATTTGTGGGGATGAAATTCCTCCTGGTGGGTGCAGGTTGTGCATCTCCTCCTGTGCCACCATTTGTGGGGATGGCATTCCTCCTGGTGGGTGCAGGTTGTGCATCTCCTCCTGTGCCACCACTTGTGTGACTGAGCCCTGAAAGCAGGGGCTGTCTCCTCTGGGGGAACACAGAAATGTGCAGAAATCTGCAAAACCATTTCCAATGCCTTTGGACTTTTTTGATTTTCTTGGGTTAAATAATTTCCTGGTGTTCCCAGAGCTTTGACTTCTGGAGATGCGGTTGGGTTCAAGCAGAAGGGGAATACTTTGAGGGGTGTGGTTGGGTTCATCCCTCAGTGCTTTGAGGGATGGCCTGAGCAGCCTTGGATAAATGCCCCTGATGCTATTCTGATAGCACATCTTGTGCACTTGTTCCAGCACCTTGTAAAAGGTGGTGTATTCCATTTCTGGCTCATTGTATCCCCCAAATTACCTTTGCTTTCACATACCAAACACCTTTACCTCATGGAGACTTTGAATTTAAAACACCAAATTCTGGGTAAATCAACTCCATGCAGTGTCCAGGGGCAGAGTCCCTCTGTGAGTCCCCTCCAAAATGTGGCAGCTGAGACTGCTTGGTGACAAATGACCTGTGGCAGCACAGCCTGGAGCAGCTGGCTGGGGACAGCAGGGTCTGAGCAGCCAGCTCAGGGCACAGAGATCCAAAAGATCCAGACCATTCCATCTGTTTGGTACAGGCTGGGTTATTTATAACATTCACTCACATTCTACCTCTGCACCCCTCTGCCCTGGAAACCATCCCTTCCTAGGAGTGAGGGTAAATTCCTTGGATATTTACAGCTGAGCTGCCTAAGCCACCATCGTGCCCTGCTCTGGGGAGGAGCCACCAACCTTCACAACCCAAATCCTTCATGTTCTCCGTGCCCTGTTTTGTTTTTAAGGCCACCAGATCTGACAGTGGCAGTGGGGGGAGTTAACCTCAGCCTCCCTCTGGAAGAGTGCAACCCAGACAGCCTGATCCTGCACGAGGAGTTCAACAGAACCAGCCTGCAAAATGACATTGCCCTGATCCTGCTCAGCAGCCCCATCGAGTTCAGCACGGAGAAGATTCCCGTCTGCCTGCCCTTCGTGTGTGACAGGGACACCTGGCAGCACTGCTGGGCTTCTGGCTGGGAGAGCACAAGTGCAGGTGAGGTGCTGGGGGGACACGCATTTGCTGATGGAAGATGGGGTTTGTGGCTGTCCTCTCCCATGAGGGGCTTCCCAGATCAAAGTTTCACTCCCCACCTTTTTTTATCTTGACTTTTTTTTTTTTTTTTTGTCGAATAATTAAACCATATACCCCTACATTGTCCAAATCACTTGTCATCAATACACTTTCAATTAACCTTCCTCTAGATTTCCTAATATCAAAACAACAATCAACCATCATCATCACTCTACAACCACCCCCAAACATAGAATTAACCCCAGAACTACCCCCCCCCCCCAAAAAGCCAAACAAAAATACAAACCATGATGATAAATCCTAGACCAATCACCCACCAAATTTTACGTTCTTGTAGCTTATAGAAAGCATGACACTGAAGATGCCAAGATGGTTTATGCATCCAAACCCCCCCAGCCTCTGCACATCCACCAGTTCCCTGTTCAGGGCAAGAACCAGACACCAACACACCCCCAGAGCAAAATCTGGGACCTATTTTGGCACCACATCCAAACTTTGGACCTCATTTTGGCACCACATCCCAACTTTGGACCTCATTTTGGCAGCCAGATTAAGGCAAGCTTCACCCTGGTGGGTAAATTAGCACAGAATCATGGGATTATTATGGCTGGAAGGGACCTTAAAGCTCATCTTATTCCAACCCCCTGCCAGGGGCAGGGAAACCTTCCACTGTCCCAGGTTACTCAGAGCCCCATCCAGAGCTGGGTCTTGAACACTTTTCACCTTGTAGGATCCTTGTGAGTAACTTCAGCTTGGGATATTCTATGAATCACCCAGTTAGGCTGGGTCTAAAATGGTCTGGACTAAAGGAAATGAAGGTCTGGGGCTGTCTTGGCTTAATGCCTCTATGAGCTGGATTGACTTATTGGTTCTGGCCACTCCTTCCTTCACTCGTTTAGGACTGCAGATCGCTGTTGCTAATTGATCTCATTTAGGCCCTAATGAAAGCAGTTCCAGCACTGAGTGTGACCCAAAATGTCTGTCCTGAACAAATGTCACTAATTAGCCAATGAGCTGATTCATTACTGGAAGAATTAATCAGGACTGGGAGGGCAGGGGGGTGCCTTGGAGCTCAAGGATGCAGTAAGTGAACATCCCATTGAGTCCTTGCTATTCTGCTCCAATTGCTGTTTTGTTGGGTTTTTTTTTCCATGAAACTCTGCATTTGCCTTCTTAAGCTTCATTTTCCTCACTCAACAGTAACACACAACACTCTCATAGTTTTGAAGCTCTCCCGCTTCACCAAGGTAACATGTTCCTGTTTTCTGTTGAGTAGTTACATAGCATTGAACTTGATCCATAGGATCATGGAATCATGGAATGGTTTACAGTTGAAAGGGACCTTTAAATTCATCCAGTGCCACCCCCTGCCATGGGCAGGGACACCTTCCACTGTCCCAAGTTGCTCCAAGCCCTGTCCAGCCTGGCCTTGGACACTGCCAGGGATCCAGGGGCAGCCACAGCTTCTCTGGGCACCCTGTGCCAGGGCCTCCCCACCCTCACAGCCAAAAATTCCTTCCCAATATCCCATCTATCCCTGCCCTCTGGCAGTGGGCAGCCATTCCCTGTGTCCTGTCCCGCCATCCCATGTCCCAAAACCCTTTCCAGCTCTCCTGGACCTCCTGTAGGCTCTGGAAGAAGCTTTAAAGTCTTCCCAGTGCTTTTTCTTCTCCAGGTGAACACTCCCAGCTTCTCTCCATAACAGGAGAGCTTCACCCTCCTGGAGATTCCTTCACCAAAGCATTTTCATCTTTGGGCACTTCCATCTTAGCTGGAAAAGGGATGTGACAACTTTCCATCTTTTGGATCTTGTCACTGAGTGTCAGTTTCCTGCAGGTTCTGGGAGGATTTGGCACAGTGAAATATGAAACAAGGAGTGAGTTCCAAACAATCTGAAGGTCTCAGTTTTATCCTTCAGTCTCAGATTCTCTTTGGAGAGAAACGTGGGTGAAATAATTGGGCTTTCCAAGTAGCCCAGCGCATTTTTCAGTCTTTCTGTCACTTGCAGGTGCCAGCTGTGATTTCTGTATTCCCAACCCAAGGGAAGAATAAAGCAGATATTTCCTTTGTGTCACTTTGTGAAGATACAGCTGGGTGAGGTGTGGCCTTGCAGCCCTCCCTGGGGAGAACAATGTTTAGATTGGATATTAGGAAAAAAATTCCTCCCTGGAAGAGTTGTTGGGCATTGGAACATCTGCCCTGAGCAGTGGTGGAGTCTCCACATCTGGAGGAATTTCAAAGCCATGTGGACGTGGCATTTGGGGACATGGGTCAGAGGTGGCCTTGGCAGTGCTGGGGGAATGGTTGGACTGAATGATTCAAAGGTTGTTTCCAATGTAAATTATTCCATGGTTCTGTGATTCTACGATTAGAATTCTGGGGAAAGCTCAGTGGACTTTGATCTGCAGGGGCTTGCACAAGATGCCATGAAAAGCCCCTCAGACTGAATTCCCAAAAAACCATGAGTGAGGAACCCCAGGTGTGCAGGACAGCTCATCTCAGGTGATCACTGAGACCACCATCAGGAAAATCCATCCCTTTGGGGGTTTCCCAGTAGTCTGGCATCTCTGGCAGTGTCCAAGGCCAGGCTGAACAGAGCTTGGAGCACCCTGGGATAGTGGAAGGTGTCCCTGCACGTGGCAGGGGTGGCACTGGATGATCCTTAAGGTCTTTTTCCACCCAAACCATTCTGTGATTCTGTGAGAAGCTCAGGAGCACAATCTCATCATTGCCAACACTTGGGGAACCCCTGTGACCCCAAACCCTACAGTTCTGCCCAGAGACCCCATTGCCCTGAGATGCTTTAGAAATCCAGCTGAGGTTGTTCCCAAGGGAAATCTCCAGCAGCTTTGTTGATCCTTCTCTTTTCATTTGCTGCAGCATCCCCTGTGCTGCAGAAAACAAGGGTGAAGCTGATCAGCAGGGAGAAATGCCTGGAGCACATCCCACACCTCGTGGGGGGCATTATGTGTGCTGAGACAGAGCAAGGAGAAGGAGGAGGAGGAGGAGGAGGTGGAGGAGGAGGAAGAGGCTGCCAGGTAAAGGGACCATCCTGGTCTGCTTCAGGTTACACCCTGAAAGGAGGCAGGAATGGTTGTCCAGGAGCTTCAAGGCAAAATAATTGGGAGGGAAGTTTAATCTGAGGGTATTATTATTTAATTTAAATAAGAAACATTTCTCAGATGAGGTCTTGGCTCTGACCCAAATGTGCTTGGCCGGTCTGTGGGTGCCTGAATGAGTCACATCTTGTGGCAGTGTGCTGGTGGCAGAGAATGAGGGACTTTTCAAACCTAAATTACAGTCTGAGCAGTATTTGATATCAGGGAGCTGACACAAACACCCAAATGAGGCAAAACTCACTCACAGCTTGTGCCCTCACAGCACATTCCACCCCCAGGATCGCTGTCCTGGTGTCAAATGAAGCCTGGAAGCCAAAAATTCACCTTGTCTTTCGTGGCACCCAAATTCCAACCCCTCTCCTGAGAGACTGGCAAGGACTGGGCTCTCCTGCAGCCTCTGGTTCCAGACTGAGATTTCCCTCCTCTACTGGGAAATGGTTTTTTTAGGAATCACAGATGGTTTGGGTTGGACAGAGCTTTAAATCTCACCCAGTTCCACCCCCCTGCCACGGACAGGGACATCTTCCACTCTCCCAGGTTGCTCCATGACCCATCCAGGTGTGTTTTATACATGTCCACGGGCTTGGAGGGGTCTGGATGGGGAGACACATGGTTGGGCATCTCCATCCTGTAGGAATTGCTCACTCATTGGAGGAACTAAACCAGCACCCAGGACAGAGAGAGATCCCCTGACCTTTAGGCACAGGCTGGGGGCACCAGGACCATGGGATTCTGAGGGAAAGTTTCCTTTGCAAAATGATTTTGTGATTAGCCAGAGAGCATCTGCCTCTGAAACCATCCAAGGAGTGACTTTCACCCCCATTAAATTAAATCAAAAAATCTTAGAAAGAAACCTGCCAGAGGATAACATTAACATGATTAAAGGATGCACTGCCCAGCCCAGCCTAGCCTGAAGTTCTGTGGGTGAATGATGCTGGTGAAATAGCAGGAGCACTTGTTCCCAGAAAAATTAATCTCCTGGACTCAGAAAGCCGATGAAGCAGCTATTTAGATCCACAATCCTGTCAGAGTTTTCTGAGGAATGAAGTAGGAATGTGAGATTTCCAAGCAGTGGAAGCACATGTCCTTTGCATGGGTGAAAAAACTCAGAATTCAGCATCTCTCTGATTTTAGTGGGATCTTGACCAGGCAGGAATGCTTTGTAAACTGGAATAAAGGGAACAGGACAAAACTAGAGCTGAGGGCAGAAGTTGTACTTTTCAGGGATGAAACAATGACAGGACTTGCCACCAGATTTTGCTGATTTGCTGGAGGGGAAGTGTTTTGCTGCTGGATGGTTTCCTGGATTTCTGAGAAGTCCTGAATAAAGCCATGGGGGACACATTTTGACCTCACCAGTCTGGGTCAGCAACCCTGTGGCTTGTCCCTGTCATGGCCTGGGACAGGACGGGGCTGAACCTGATGCTTCTTCTGCAGCAGGGACCACTGGGCAGAATCCCAGAATTCTTTAGGTTGGAAAAGCCCTCCAGGATCACTGAGTCCATCCTGTGACCAATCCCCACCTTGTCCCCAGCCCAGAGCACTGAGTGCCACATCCAGTCCTTCCTTGGACACCTCCAGGGATGGGGACTCCAAACCTCCCTGGGCAGCCCCACCCTTGCAGGGAAGAAATTTTTCCAATATCCAATGTAAACCTCCCCTGGCACAGCTTGAGGCTGGTTTGCCTTGTCTTGTCTTGGAGCAGAGCCCGACCCCCCTGGCTGTCCCCTCCTGTCAGGAGTTGTGCAGAACCACAAGGTCCCCCCTGAGCCTCCTTTTCTGCAGGCTGAGCCCCTTTCCCAGCTCCCTCAGCCCCTCCTGGTGCTCCAGTCCCTTTCCCAGCTCCATTCCCTTCCCTGGACATGCTCCAGCCCCTCAATGTCCCTCTTGGAGTGAGGGACAGACCTGGACAATGCATCTGCACTGTGGACAGTGTGAGGATTGCCTGTGAGGATTGCAGGGTTTGTGTCAGATGAGAGTGAGGCCAGATTTCAAAATGCCCAAATCCTTCACATCCTCCTCTCTGTCATGGAGACAGAGCAGCCCTGGGCATGGCATTGGTCTGCTCCATCCAGCTGTCTCCTGAGGGACCTCCAGGCTCAGCCCTTGCATGGATCAGGAGCCACCCACGAGTCCCTGGGGAGAGGCCAGGAAGGATTAAAAGCTCTGGCAAGGCAGAGATTCCTGGTCAGGGAACAAACCCTGGAGATGCTGAGTTGGCTCCAGTAGCTGCAGCCCAAGGAAGTCTGGACACAGAGGAGATAAAAGCCTGGTATTAACATTTCCTGGGATTTGCTGAGGATCAGGATCCATGCTTTCATGTCCAGAGCCAGGCTAAGGCAGGGAAGTTGCTGGACTCGAGGTTGTAAGTCCACATGATCCACATCAGGATCCAAATCTGTGAACTGTGATGGAGGGAACAACTTTTCACATGGGGACACAGTGACAGGACAAAGGTTTTAAACCAGAAGAAGACATACTTAGATGGGATATTAGGAAGGAATTCTTCCCTGTGAGGGTGGTGAGGCCCTGGCACAGGTGAAGCTGTGGCTGATCCATCCCTGGAATTGTCCAAGGCCAGGCTGGACAGGCCTTGGAGCAACCTGGGATAGTGGAAGAAATTCCTCCTGATGTCCAACCTGAACCTCCCCTGGTGCAGCTTGAGGCCACCCCATGAATAGAAAAGCCAAGAATAAAAAGACTCAGACATTTCACCAGCTGCCCTCATACCAGACCAGCCTAATTTGTGGATAACTGTCCATGTTCCTCCAATAACTCAAGGAGATTGAATAGCAGAGCTCCCAAGTATTTGTACCTAAAAATAAGAATCCATTCCCTTAAAAAGAAAAATCTATTCTATCCCAATTCCCTGGCAGTTCTGCAGACAAATATATGGATTGGCTGGGAATTAACACTACCAGGAGCTGTAATTGACTTATAGTTCTATTTAGTCATAAACATTAACATTAATGGATGTTCAGGGGGTACAAGTGCTAAAGAACAGACACTGGAGATGGCCTATGTATTATTTTTCTGTGTGCTACATTTCTTCCGTGACCCCATGAACCACAATTGATGTCTCATTCCTTGCTTTCTTAAGCATCTTTTGTTAGGCTCTGATGCAATGGTAACTTGAGCAAAAATTAGAGTATAAGGGGCTCACAAAGCAAATGCCTCCTTCAGTGCCTTCCCTGCCCAGGCAAAATTCAGTAAATGGCCCAATTATAGTTCAGAGGGGCTGTGGGGGGAGCTCTGATGTGGTGATTAGGACAAAGTGTGTTCAGCTGGAGTCACAGGTCACCTACAGTTCAGCAGCACATGAAGGGGGGCCAGGCCCTGCTCTGATTCCAGGGGCAGGAATTGCTCTGTGACCCCCAGGAGCGGTGGGGTGGTTCCAGCTCAGGTGAGTCCTGGGCTGCAGGTATCCACCCCCTCCTACAGCCTGCAGCAGGGGGGATTTTGGCCATAAATCACACAGTGGTTGGGGTTTAAAGGGGCCTTAAAGATCATCTGGTTCCAACCTTCCTCTATCCTAGGTTGCTCCAAGCCCTGTCCAGCCCGGCCTTGGACATTTTCAGTGATCCAGGGGCAGCCACAGCTTCTCTGGGCACCCTGTGCCAGAGCCTCCCCACCCTCACAGGGAGGAATTCCTTCCCAATATCCCATCTAACCCTGATTTCTTTCAGGTGAAAGCCATTTCCCCTTGTCCCATCTCTGAAAATGCCATTTACAGCCTCTGGGATGCTCAAGGCTCTCACCCCACAGAGCTGGAGCAAAAGCAGCAGTTTTTGTGCAAACCTGGATGGGGTTTTCCAGCCATTTCACAAATGTCTATAAACATCAGCATCTACAGAACCTCCTTTCCATCAACAGGGAGAAAAAAAAAATCCCCTGGTGATGGGAATCACTGAGGTTGATTCAAGCATCTGTGTTAAAATTACATCAAGCCCTTTGTGTGTGTTTATTGCTCCCCATGAACTGAAATCCAGCTGAAGGGGTTTAGCTCAGAGAGGGGCACTTGGCTCCAAGGCAGGACAGTTGTTTACATTTAATTCTCTATTAGACACCCCAGGATATCCCCCGGTATCCCATTGCTCCCACCTCAACCTTTGCTCCAGTGACTGCAATGGGAGCCTGACACTGGCACTAGAAAAGCTCTGGCATCCTTTCACAAGGTCTTGCCTCCTTTTGCTGGTCCGAACATGGCCACAAAACTGCCAAGAAAGACTTGTGAAATATAATTTTCTGAAGGAAAGGATCCAGCAAATCTGTGTTTTTATCCAGCAAAATCCAGCAAAAACTGTGTTTTTATAGGCAGTTGTCATGGATTCAAGGAGAAGAGCACAAGCCAGGATAGTGTGGTCAGTCCCTGAAGCTGCTCGAAACACCTGAACAGAGGTGGTTAAATTATGGTCTGGCTGCAGTCTGTAGGGATGGGGAGCATCCACAGGAGCTCTGAGGTCCTTCTGCTCTCTCAGTTTGAAAAGACAGGAGTCTGCTAAGGAAGGCAGGAGCCTCCCCTGAAATGGAAAATGTGAACCCTCCCATCCCTCTGAATTGCTATAAATTTTAAAATTAAGGGGCTCCCAGGCAAAAAAAATGGGGGCAGGAAATAACAGTTCTTTAATAGGGAAGAAAATAAAAAGATAAAAATAGCAATGCAGTAAACTAAAACAACACTGCCAGAGTCAGAACCCAACCTGACACCCTGTTGGTCAGGGTGTTGGTAGCAGTCCAATTGGAAATGTGGCTGCAGCCCTCCTGGAGTGTCAGGTGTGGCTCTGCTGGAGCAGGGATCCTGTAGAACAGAGTGTAGGCTTCCTCTGAAGATCCAGTGGAAGAAAGAGGCAGCTGCTGTTCCTCTGGGGAATCCAGTGAAACATCTGTGTTGGTATTCCAGAACCTCCAGATTATATCCA